CGGGCGGGTAGGCCCTAACAGGCGGGTCGGGAAGGCGGGCCCAGGCGGCCAGGTCGAGCAGGCGACTTGCTGAAGCGTGCGTCCTGCATGAATCGCGAGAAGTTTCCAGCGATAGCGCAATTCCCGAGTAATCGTGAAATAAGCCAAAGCGAGAGCGTGATTCCTGAGTGTCGAGGGCGCGGCGTCTGAATAAGTTGCGAGAAACTCCCACGCGAGAGTGCGATTTCTGCATAACTTGTCAGGTCGTCCCGTGCGAGAGCGGGGTTCTTCAATCAAGTGTGAAGAAGTATCAGGCGGGAACCGTTGTTGTTGCTATTGTTGCTGTTGTTGTAAACCAGGCGCCAGCCACCCCATTCTGACACCCAAAACTTGACCCGATAAAAAACAGGGTGCGAGCCCAGAGAAGAGCATGTAATTTGAAAAGGCACGATGGAGGGGAGATCAACAAGACATATCCGCTAGCATTGCTAATTCAACAACAACAACAACAACAACAACAACAACAACAACAACAACAACAACAACAACAACAACAACAACAACAACAACAAACACAGCAACAACAACAACAACAACAACAACAACAACGACGACGACGACGACGACAGCAATAACAACAAACACAACAAAAGCAACAACAACAACAACAACAACAACAACAACGACGACAACAGCAGCAGCAACAACAACAATTATCAGATTAAGACTCGTCACTCCGATCTGCTCACGTGCCAATCAATACGTATATCACAAGCCCTCGGTACCCGCCCTCGTCGCCTTCGATCGTACCCCCTTGGGGGTATATCTTCGTTACCGGCTACGTGCAGTTCGTGCAGCCCCTAAAACAGGAGAGGACGAGTGGAAGGAGGATGGAGCATAATGGAGCACGAGAGAAATTAGCAGGAGGGGAGCAAGGAGCAGAAAACAAGTGGTAGAACCAGACGGGCAGATCGAGTGGGCAGACCCATAGCTGGCAGGTCGGGAAGACGGGCCCAGGCGACTAGGTCGAGCAGGCGGGTTGCTGAAGCGTGGGTCTTGCATGAATCGCGAGGAAGTCTCAAGCGATGGCGCGATTCCCCCGTGAATCGTGAAAAAGCCCAAAGCGAGAGCGTGATGCCTGAGCGACGAGGGCTCATCGCCTGAATAAATTGCGAGGAGGTCCCACGCGAGAGCGCGATTCGTACACAACTTGTGAGGGAGTCCCGCGCGAAAGCGCGAGTCTTGAATGAGTTGCGAGGAAGTATCAGGCGGGAGCCGTTGTCGTTGTAGTTCGGGGGCCAGGGGCGCAGTTTGAACAGAAAGACTCTCCCTGATAACTCGCCTGGTAAAGGGCCCAACCATATGCAGCTGTGAGCACCGCAGTCGTAACTTTTTGTTTTGCTTGTGTTGCTATTTGCGCCGGTAGCTCCGCATTGGCCGATTCGCCACTCTGTCGGGCGGTCGGAACACGACAAGGAGCAGGGGCGCAGCCATGCAGCAGAGGTCCTGGCAAGAGGCGCGGACAGTTGTCCGAACGATGCGTCCGCAGGCGAATTCTGCCCGCGGTTGCTGCCCGTGCGCGCGTCGACGAGCCGCTGCTGTGTGAGCAACTTCGCGTGGGGCGTGTAGGCAGGGAGCCCGGAACAGCTCAGTGACAACGCAGTCACTGAAAGAGGAGGGGCACAAGGACGGGCGCTCTCCGAGAGCAGCCCGCCACGCATAGCTCAGTAGCTCACCCGCACCGCGCTGCCGGGGCCGCACCCAGCGGGCACCTCGAAGCTGACGAGGTGGCCATCCCCCGCTTGCACCTGGCACGTCATCCCCGGGAAGGCGTCGGCAGGCAAGTACACCGTCGTCGTCTGTGCTGGCGGCGCCTGCTGCACGTAGTACTGCGAGCGCTGCGCCGGCTGCAGCAAGTAACGCTGCGCGGGAAGCTGAGCCGGACGCTGCGCCGGCTGTTGCGCGTAGTACTGCTGCAAGTACTGCTGCTGCAGCGGTGACTGCTGCAGAGCAGCAACGTACTGCAAGAACTCCTCGTGCGTCATGTGCTTCTGGATTGCTTGGTAGCCTCGAGGATGCAGAGTGAACAGTCAGAGAGCGCTGCGGGTCCTTGATCAGTGAACTTGCGGGGACGAATTCGCCTGAATCAAAATCGACTTGAACCAAAATGGCTTGAGTCAAAATGGCTACGGTGGAGCTCCCCATGGGGCCACGAGGCGTGTGAGGGGTGTGCCGACATGGGTGTGGCGGACGCATGTGGACGGTGCCACTGGGGCCTTCCGTGGAGCTCCCTCTGGGGTCGCGAAACGTGTGAGGGGTGTGTCGGTATGGGTGTGGCGGACGCACGTGGAAGTTGCCACTGCGGCCCTTGGTGGAGCTCCCTCTGGGGCCACGAAACGTGTGAGGGGTGGGCCGAACAGGGTGTGGCGGAAACATGTGGACGGTGCCACAAGGGCATTTAGTGGATGTCCCTCCAGGGACACGAAACGTGCGCGGGGTGCGCCGAAATCGGTGTGGCGGACGAATGTGGACGGTGCCACCGGGGCCTTCGGTGAACCACTCTGTGGGGCCACGAAACGTGTGAGAGGTGTGCCGAAACGGGTGTGGCGGACGCATGTGGACGGCGTTACTGGGGCCTATAAGGCCACGAAACATGTAAGGGGCATGCCGACATGGGTGTGGTGGACGCATGTGGACGGTGCCTCTGGGGCCTTCCGTGGAGCTCCCTATGGGGCCCCGAAGTGTGTGAGGGGTGTGTCGAAATGGGTGTGGAGGACGCATGTGGACGATGCGTTTGGAGCCTTCGGTGAAGCTCCCTATGGGGGGCCACGGAAGGGGTGAGGGTTGTGCCGAAATGGGTGTGGCGGACGCACTGGGACCTTCGGTGGAGCTCCCTATGGGGCCACGAAACGTGAGAGCGGTGTGCCAAAATGGGTGTGGCGGACGCACGTGGACGGTGCCACTGTGGCCTTGGGTGGAGCTCCCTACGGGGCCACGAAACGTGTGACGGGTGTGCCAAAGTGAAGGGGGTGACGGGAGGAGGGAGGAGGAGGAGGAGCAGGAGGAGGAGGAGGAGGAGGAGGAGGAGGAGGAGGAGGAGACGAGTAGGAGGAGGAGGAGGAGGATGAGGAGGAGAGGAGAGGAGTGGAGACGAGAGGAACGCGGGGACCGCCTCTTCAAAACGAGGACCCAACACCACAGGATGGTTGGGGGTAAAGCAGGGTGCGAGCCCCAGGAAGGGCACGTCAATTGAACAAACACATGTGTTACTGGACGAGGGGGTCGACAATAATTATTCGTCTGGAAATTAAGTCCAACATAAACAACAGCAACACCAACACAACAACAACAACAATAACAACAACAAGTAAGACGACAACAACAAGTACAACAGCAGCAGCAACAGCAACGACAGCAACAACACCGACCATTACAGCAGCAGCTAAAACAACGTCAACAACGTCAACACCAACACCACAACCACCACCACCAGTAACAGCAATGTCAACAACGACAACAACAACCACCACCAAAACCACACCAACAACCATAATCACAACAACGTCCACAGTCACAGCGACAACCACCAAAAACATCATCATCACCATCATCACCAGCATCACAAGCAGCAGCCGCATCATCATCACCATCATCATAACCATCACCATGAGTATGATGATCATAATGATCATCATCATCATCATCATCATTCTCATCATCATCCTGATCATCACCACCATCATCACCATCATCATCATCATCCTCATCATCATCATAATCATCATCATATTCATCATCATCATCATCATCAGCAGCAGCAGCATCATCATCATCATCATCATCATCATCATCATCATCATCACTGGCGGCATCACCACCATCATCGTCGTCGTCGCCATGATTGTCGCTATCGTCGCCATCGTCATCAGCATCAATACCACCATCATCACCGCCATCAACAATAACATCATCAACCGCATCCTCTCCATCATCTTTCATCACCACCCCAACCTCCACCTGCCTCATCATAACCAACATCGATCGTTATCATTCACACAGTCATAAATAATAACCCTTACCGTCACCAACCTCACCATCATCACAACCATCACCCTGCAAATCGTTTCGTCCCTTCCGTCCATTATCATCCTTCTTCTCTCCTTCAAGCTCTTCCACTCCTGCATCCGTCCATCATCATCCTCTGCCTCCTCCACCGCCTCCTCCTCCTCATGATCATCGGTCTTTACTCTCTGTTCCTTCTACTCCCCCTCCTCCTCGTCCAGTGTTTCTCCTCCTCTTCCTCTTCCTCCTCCTCCTCGTCCTCCTCCTCCTCCTCCTCCTCCTCCTCCACGTCGGCCCATTGACATATCGTCCCACTTAGGTGAAACCAGCCCTCTCCTGGGGCCCGTCCCCACCAAACCTCGAAAGGGGAGTCGCCCAGAGGTCTCCACGAAGAGCTAGAAAGAAAGCTCGACCCTCGGACCTCGAACCTCCTCCTCCTCCTCCTCCTCCTCCTCCTCCTCCTCCTCCTCCTCCTCCTCCTCCTCCTCCCCCTCCTCCTTCATTCTCATTCACCGCCTCCCTCCTTTTCTTCCCATCACGCTGAGGTCCAGCGTCCGAATTCAAAAAACAAATCGCGTGAAAAGTCACGACCTGAGCCGCAGGTCCCACCTCTCTGCAGCAACACCTCGAGCTGGATCGATCTGCGAGGGCCCGGGGAGGGCCCAAAAATAGCACCAGAGCTCCCAGCGTGACAAAGATTGCGCCGATAGGCGACGGCAAAGACGACGACGACGACGACGACGACGCCACCGACGACGACGAAATCAACGACGACGACGACGACGACGACGACGACGACGACGACGACAGCGACGCCGACGCCGACGCCGACGCCGACGCCGACGCCGACGCCGACGCCGACGACGACGACGACGACGACGGCGACGTTGACGACGCACGGAGGCGCCCCGGCGCCGCGTGCGCGCCCAGTAGGGCGCGCGGGGGCGGCGCCCCCCGGCCTCGTAGAGGACCAGCTCCCGGGCGCTCGCGGCGTGGCTCACGATGTAGATGTTCCTCTCGGGACGCCGCCCCAGATCCACGACGACAGTCGCTCGCGCGCTGAGCGAGGTCCTCACTCGCCAGCGCTCGCGCGCTGACGATAGTCGCTCGAGCGCTGACGATAGTCGCTCGCGCGCTGAGGAGGGCACGAGCCAGGACCTCGCTCAGCGCGTGAGCGATAGTGCTGTTTCAGTCTGGGCGTTTTCCCCTCATTTCGGCCCCCAGGGCCCGTCATCGGGCCCCGGGGCCGCGAGGAGCGGGCACCTGAGGCGCACGACGACTCCCAGGGAAGGGGTCGAACGCTCTGCAGCTGCGGGAAGCCAAAAAACAATCGCATCGGAGGATATCTGGGGACGACGACTACGATGACTTGGTTGGCATGTTTGCCAGCCTGGACCCCGAACAGGACGATCTTGCACTGGGGATGTGTAAGCGATGTGGTGCAAGATATGTGGTGCAAGCTATGTGATACAATATATGTGGCGAATGTGCCGCAAGCTATGTGATGAACGCTACATGGTGCAAGTTGTGCGGTGCAAGCTACGTGGTGTAAGCTATGTGGTGTAGGCTGCGCGGTACAAGGTCTGTGGTGGAAACTCTGTGATAAAAGCTACCTGGTGCAAGATCTGCGTTGCGAGCTATGTGGTACACGCAATGTGGTGCCAGCGATGTGGTAAGCGCAAAACGTGCAACACGTGCGGCCGCCCAACGCAGAAGGCACCCTCGAGAGACCCAAAACGGGCGGGCACCACGGCGAACCCTTGGCACGCCCACCCACCTCACGAGGCGCCCACCAGGCGCCCACGAGGCGCCCACGGGCGGGCGGGCACCAAGCGAAACCTCGGCACAGCCGACCAGCGCACGAGGCGCCCACCAGGCGCCCACCAAGCGCCCACGGACGGGCACCCGCGAGCGGGCACCAGGCGAAACCAAGGCACAGCCGATCACCGCACCGGGCGCCACCGAGGCGCCCACGGGCGGGCACCGGGCGGAACCTCGGCAAGCCCCCGACCAGCGAACCGAGGCGCCCGCAGGCGTGCGGACGTCGGGGAAGACCTCGGCACAGCCTCCCGGCGCCATCGAGGCGCCCACGGGGCGCCCACGAGGCGGGCCGCAGGCGAAACCTCGGCCCACCCCCTGGAAGCGCGTGCTTGCGCCGACGCCTGGTCTTCACAGCGCTGCAGGTCCGCATCAACAAGCCTCGCGTGTTGATCCTGGTCGTGGGTCGTTCGGCCTGGAGCAGCAGGTGGCTCTCTGACAACCGAGGCCGTTCAACGCTGACCGAGTCCAGGCCGCCAGTGACCTTCAACCTTGAACGCCCGCGCTAGCGTCGACGCAGCATTTACACGACACGAACGTGAGGTATCCACCAATCATGGGCCCGTGGTTGGTTTTGGCAAGACTGGCGCAAGAAAACATCATCGACCCCAACCGCAGAAATGCAAAACTTGGATGCCAGAGCCGTCGAGGTCCAGGCTGAAGCAGTTACAGCCTCGTCAGCCCCATAGCCCTAGGATTCACGGCTGAGGATGGACCGAGAACGCAAGGGTAGCCTTGACGAAGGAAGCACTGCATCCTTACCTAGGTCACCTAGCTTCGCGCTGCGCGCAGCGCGAAGCACAATCATTTTCGCGCTCTCGCTCGGCGACCCTGGACAAGAACAGTTTTCAGCCCAGACCGCGAAGCGCGCTTTTCCTCGTGCCCCTGAAATCAGGCTACCTAGAGCTGGTTTCCGCAGAAAGTTCGCAAACACACACGAACAACGACTTCGGACATCCGCGAATGTCCGCGGACGCTGTCCCAACCAGCGCACGACACCCCGTCCGTCTCCCTCCCCGGAGTGCGAAGCGCGCCGCGGGCGGCGCCGAGGGCGCCGCCCGAGGGTGCGGAGAGGGGGTCCAGCGCGGCGGGCATCTGCCGTCCGCACACGTCCCGAAGAGGAGCAGGAGGAGGAGGAGGACCAGTGTAAACCAAAGAGTAATCAACGATGTTGGAATTAACCCTCCCTCCAAGCTCCCTTTTTCATAGGCCCCTACAACAATTCATTTCCATTGAAGGAACTGCCTCGTTGGAAGACATCCGTTTGAAGACCCTGAAGCATGCCGAAACATTGTTCTCGGGGTTTCAACGCCACGGTACAACCTGACTGCTGCGTCTTGGCGATCCGGAATCGTGCCAGAAAGCCATTTTTGGGACTTCAACACCACGAATCAACATAAGTGTTGCGCCCACCTAATCCTGAATCCTTCCAAAACACCATTTCTGATACGCTGATCATGGGAAACAGTGAAACTCTTCCAAATGTTAACAACGAAAATGCGCGGCGCTAAGGCGAGAGCCACATCTTTAAAAGAAACAGCCCTGAGTCCGCGAAACGCTTGTAATGCATTAAAAACGAATCTGCGCGGCGCTAAGGCGAGAGCCGCATTCTGAAAACGACTGGTCCTCAATCCGTGAAACCCTTGCCATTGTTTCAAGCGAATGTGCGCGGAATTCAAGCGAGAGTCACATTTTGAAAACCACCCCTCCTCAATCCGCGAAGCTCGTGCAATTCTTCAAAACCAATGTGCGCATCGCTAAAGCGAGAACTACAGTTTGAAAACCAACCGCCCTCAATCGGCGATGCGCTTGCAAATGTGTGAGAACGAATGTGTGCAGAGCTAAAGCGAGAGCCACATTTTGAAAGCGACCCGCCCTCAATCCGCGAAGCTCCTGCAATTGTTTCAAACGAATGTGCGCGGAGTTCAAGCGAGAACCACATTTTGAAAACCACCCGCCTTCAATCCGTGAAACTCTTGTGTGCGCGGCGCTAAAGCGAGAGCCACACTTTGAAAACCACCCGCCCTCCATCTGTGAAACTGCTGCCAAGTTTAAGCTTCAGGGACAGCAGTGGTGAGGGAGTCGCAGGCGAAATGCCCGGCCCGCCCTAAAAACTGTCCTCGGGGTGCGACAGTGAGAAGTTGTTTATACGAAAAGGAATGGAGGAGGAGGAGGAGGAGGAGGAGGAGGAGGAGGAGGAAGAGGAGGAAGAGGAGAGAGGAAGAAGGAGAAGGAGGAGGAGGGGGAGGAGGGGAGGGGGAGGGGGGAGGAGGAGGAGGAGGAGGAGGAGGAGGAGGAGGAGGAGTAGGAGGAGGAGGAGGAGGAGGAAGCGGAGGGAGGGGGAAGGGGGGAGGAGGAGGGAGGAGGAGGAGGAGGAGGAGAGGAGGGGAGGAGGAGGAGGAACTGCATGCCCGTGCTGCCCAGCGGCCCTCTGAATATCGCATACGGGTGGCCCTGGCTGCAGCTGGCGCCCCCCCCCAAGTCCTGTCGTAGGCGCGGGAGGGGTCGCCAGGCCGCCACACGAAGAACGCCTTCGCGTGCACGGTCTCCTCCCGGCTGCCCGTCGTCGCCGCCGCCGTCGTCGGGAGAAGGAGGCGGAGGAGGAGGAGGAGGAGGAGGAGGAGGAGGAGGAGGAGGAGGAGGAGGAGAAAGGTCGTGTTTTTCAAGAGATAAGGTTCAGGGATGGAGGTTTTGAGGGACGCTCCCCCTTTTGAGGCCTCTGGGAGCCTTCTCGTCGTCACGGCTGGATTATCCTCGGGACTCCGTGGCCGGATGACCGCAACCCACGAGAGGCCTGGCGAGGGAAAGGTTTGAGGGGAGGAGGAGGCCCCTCCTCCTCCTCCTCCTCCTCCTCCTCCTCCTCCTCCTCCTCCTCCTCCCCTCCCCCCTCCTCCTCCCTCCCTCCTCCTCCTCCCCTCCTCCCTCCTCCTCCTCCTCCTCCTCCTCTCACTCCCTGCTTCCTTCTCCTTATTCTTTCCACCTCCTCCTTCTCATCATCCTTGTCTCCTCCTCCTCTCCTCCTCCTCCTCCCCCTCCGCCCCCTCCTCCTCCTCCTTCCTCCTCCTCCTCCTCCTCCTCCTCCTCCTCCTCCTCCTCCTCCTCCTACTCTGCCCTCAAGCCTCTCTTGAGGCAAGTGCTGGCCAGGGATCCGAGGCAGATCCGGACGTGGCGTCCACCACCCCCAGAGACCAAAGATTATAGGCCACGGGCGCGCCAAATTCGTCCTCCTCGTCCTTCGCCCTGCTCCCTCCCCGTCCCCCTCTCCCACTCCCCCCAGGCCTCCGGCTTCGTGATCTCTGCACCACGTGGGCCCCTGGAGCTGTCGATCCCCTCCGTGGGGCCAGGTCTGCCGCCTCCGTTGACTGCAGTCGAGGTTGCTCGGAGAGGGCACGCGAGAGGTCACAATGAAGGGACCCTGGGACACACAAAAAATACACACAAATAAAAGGATTCCCCATATTTCCCCATATTTTTTCTGTTCTTTGTCTTCCCTCCCACTTCCCATGTTTTCCCATATCTTCCTGGGAATCGACGATTAATTGTGTCTGTGTGTTTTTTCCCCTTCTGACACAAGACCCCTCCGAGGGCCACACTGCCATCGGAGCGTGGAGGCTGGGGTTGCGAAGCACAGGGCGCAATGGTACCCTTGATTCGGCGGGGTCGACCCGAGAATCAGCCCCGACTGTGCCTTGGTGTCGTGTCCGATCTCAGCTTCCCGGAGCTGCGATTCGCGGGAGAGCCGACCGTCGTGCGTGCTTCAGGCCGCCGGCCCTCCCCGCTCCTTCCTCCACAAAGAAATCCGCCGACCCTGCCGGCGTGTGTGAGGGGCTTGTCCGTTCAAGTCGTCATCTCCGTCACTCGTTGGTCGTCGTCTCTGTCGTCCCCTTTCCCTGCCTCGCCCCTTTCCCTGGGCTCGTCGAAGCTCCCCCCTTTCCCAGGGACCTTCTCAGCGCGCCAGCCAATTGAGCAACGTCGTAACTGCGTCGAAGGGAAGCCCCTTCCCTTCGATCCCTCCCCCGCCGCGGGGGGGGTCCCGGGGGGGGGGAGGGTCAGATACGACGCCCCCCCTGGGAGTCCCAGAGCCCCCCAAAAAGCCCCAAGACGGGCCAAGAGTGCCCCAAGAGGCCCCAAAGACAGTCCAAGAGAACCCCGAATTGCCAAAGGATCTGTCCAAAACGCCTTGACGGCCTCCAGACGGCTCAAGAGGCCTGCAAAGCGCCCCAAGAGGCCTCCGGGAGCTTTCCCACGAGAGCCCCAAGAGGCAACATTCATGAATTTCCCATACGTTTTTGGAAGATTTTGGCGTTCTTGCCTCTTCCGCTTCCCGACGCGCCAAGACGGCCCAAGAGGCCCCCAAGATCGCCCCGAGACGGCCCAAGAGGCCCCCAAGAGGGTCCCCTAACGGCCGGAGAGGACCCCTAAGACGGCCCAAGACGCCTCCAAGACGGCCCAAGAGGCCCCCAAGACGGCTCAAGGAGAGTGCCCAGACGGGGGACCCGAACGGGCATTTCGAGCTCTCAGCCCCAAGAGGCCCCCAAGAGGCCCCGAAGAAGCCCCAAGAGGCCCCAAGAGGCTGCCAAGCGGCCCCATAACTGCCCCAAGACAGCCCAGGAGAGCCCCAAATTGCCCAGGAGGCCTCCAAGAGTGCCTCGAGACGGCGCTAGAGGAGCCCTGGACGGCCCAAGACGGCCTCAAGAGAGCCCCAGGCTGTCCCAAGAAAGCCTCTGGCCTCCTCCTCCTCCTCCTCCTCCTCTTCCTCCTCTCTTCCTCCTCCTCCCCCCCCTTTGCTCCCCCTCCTCCTGCTCTCCTCTGCCTCCTTCTCCTCCTCCTGCTTCTCCTCCACATGCTTCTCCCCCCCTACTCCTCCCTCATCGACCTCCTCCACCCTTCCTCCACCTCCCACTCGTCCTCCTCCCCCTGCCCCCCCACCCCCTCGTTTTCATCTTCGTCGTTCTCAGGGTCGGCGGCACCGGCCGTGAGGCCCTCGCAACATCGGCCCCCCGGACCTCTCGCGGGGGGCGGAGCCAGCCGTGGCGACGAGAGCGTGGGCCCAAGCAGAACCGGAGACGCACAGCAGCCTCGACCCCCCTCCTTTCGGGGAGACGTGAGACTCGGCTTCGGGGGACTCGGGCTGCCCCAGCGGGGCCATCCTGAGCATGACGAGACCCAGCTTGAAGCTTGACGCGAGCTCCCGCTGCAAGCATGCCACGAAAACTGGACCGTCAGAATCCAGGACGCGCTTGTCAAAAAAGCTTCGGCACACCCGATCCGCTTCCCCGATCCGCTTTCTTCGGCAGGCCGCGGAGCGAAAGCTCGCAGCGTCGCGACCCTCCTCCTCCCCCTCGGCATCGCTCGGACGTACATTCCCCGTGCACGTTCCGCTTTCGTGCGTGTATTTTCCGCCAGATGAACCAAGATGCTCCTCGATGGCCCTCGCCGAGGAAGAATGCACACGTCTGTTGGCGGCGAGCGAGGGGGCAAATGAGAAGGAGAAGGCCTCCTCGGAAGGCGGCGGGACTTCTTGGAAGCCCTCGCGCCGTCTGAGAGGTTTTCTGTGCCTTCGGGGAAGGCTTAGGCAACCTCTCAGAAGGCCGGGGGACTTCTGAGCCTGCTGGGAAGGCCCGCTCCTCCTCCCTTCCCCCCCTCGCTCGCCGTCGAGCCCGAGCGATGCCAAGTCCCCCTCCTCCCCGAGCAGCCGCGAGGCCCGCAGAGGGCGGCGGCGAGAAAAGCGCGGCGCCTGGCCGCCCCCTGCGGCGGGCCCGGGGCCCCGGCGCGGCGCCTGCTGCGGCGCCTGCGCCCCCCAGCTGGACACGCGGGCCACGCACGAGGCGGGAGGACCGACGACGACGACGACGACGACGACGACCACGACGACCACGACGACCACGACGACCACGACGACCACGACGGCCACGACGACGACGACGACGACGACGACGACGACGACGACGACGACGACGACGACGACGACGACGACCACGGCACGGGCCCCGCCAGAGGTGGCGAGGACCAGCAGCGGCGACCGACGACGACGACGACGCGGGTTCCACGTCTTGCTCCTCATCCTCATCCGCCTCCCGCTCCTCCTGCATCTCCACCCCTCCTCCTCCGGAGCAGGAGAAGAAGCAGCATAAAATCGCAAGGAGAGCCCTCCGACCTCCCCCGCGCCCGGGGTGAGAAGGCATGTAAGATGCTTGGCCGTCCCCTCCCCCTCCTCCTCGCCCCACGCCCCCAAGACCAGCTTTTCATCCTGACCCGCTTTTTGACAACCCCCTTGGGGAAACCAAAGGTACCGATGTTGCTACTCCCCGGAATTATCCTGGGGTCCTCCGCCTCCTCCTCCTCCTCGTCTCGTCCCCTTCCTCCGTCTCCTCCTCTGCCTCCTCCTTCCCCTCCTCCTCCTTCTCCTCCGCCTCCTCTTCCTCCCCTTCTTCCTCCCGTCTCCTCCTCCTCCTGCTCCTCCGCCTCTTCCTCTTCCTCAACCTCCTCCTCCTCCTCCTCCTCCTCCTTCTCCTCCTTCCCCATTCCTCCTCTTCCCTCCTCTCCTCCTCCTCCTCCTCCTCCTCCTCCTCCTCCTCCTCCTCCTCCTCCTCCTCCTCTTCCCTCCCCTTTCCCCCTCCCAATTCCCCTCCTGGCCAGAGGCCAAACGCGCTGGCGCGCTCTTATTAGAGGCTCCAAAAAAACCAGGCCAGCAGACGTCCAGGGACCTCGATCCTCGGAGAAAACCCAGAGGCCGGAGGTCGCCTACGTAGATGGGGCCGGAGTACACGGGGCCGGAGGGGGTCACCGCATCGCCGATGCATCGGCGATGCACCTGCGACGTCGGGGCTCTGGGCCCAGACATCCTCTGACCTGTCGGGTCGGGCGAAAGGGGGGGATAGGGGGGGTGTGAGAATCAGCTCACGTAGCTGATTTTCCCGGCGCCTCCCGGCGCCGGAGGCGGCTATGTATCGAGGAATGGGCCCCTCGGTGAGGCCGAAACCAGCTGCATGCAGCAAATTTCGTAACCCCCCTTTCCCAATCCCCCCCTTTCGTCCCCCCCTTTCGTCCGGCCCGAATCTGATTTGTTCAATCTGAGGCCCCAGAGCTCCAGACCCCTCCGCAGGGGGTCGCATCGCGTCCCGGATCCATGCTTGGTGGCCCCGGGGCTCGAGGAGTGGCCGAAGTCGTGGAATACCGCTCCGAGTGAAGCACTCATAACGCTCAGACTGGGGGATGGCGCCACACCCCCGATGCATCGGCGATGCGGCGCGATCTTCCGACCTCATCTACTCGGGCCCCGTGTGGACAGGAGGCAGCGAATACTGGGAGATCGTCGAAAGAACGATGAGAAACAATGCAGCCCGAGTCGAGAGACATTGAGCCGGATTCGATCGGATTGCGCCCGGGATTCAGCTGGGTGACCATGGAAGACTGGATTAAAAAAACACGACTGTGCTGGAGTAGGCAGGTGCTCGAGCACGGATGCATCAGCACCAACCTCGCAGGAGCTGCGTCCTGGACTCGGGCGGCCTGGAGAGGTGCGAGGACGGCGCGCCCGGCCTGCAGCACCAGGGCCCGCGCGAGCCCCGGGAAGTGGAGCATCTCGGCGAGGCCGCCGCGGAAGCTCGCCGCGGCGTACTGCCCGCACCGCGAGAAGGCCAGGTGGCAGACCGCGGCCGGCGCGCGCTCGCCGCCTACGGGCTGGGCGGGGGAGCCCGGCCGAGAGCGGCAGCGCCGCACCGCGAGACTGGGTCGGAGC